TAAACACTCTGTGACACAGGCATTACAGGCAAGGAAATGGACAATCAGAAAGACTATAGGACTTACCAAAAGTTACTTACCTAATACTGAGTGCTGGAATTCAAAATTTCTTGTTCTAATATTAAAGACTAGAGACCCGGTGCACAAAAATTTGTGCACTCAGGGGGGGGCGGTCCTCAGCCCAGCCTGTGCCCTCTCGCAGTCTGGGATCCCTCAGGGGATGACCACCTGCTGGCTTAGGCCCGCTCCCCGGGGGATTGGGCCTAAGATGACAATCAGACATCCCTCTGGCAGCCTGGAAGCCCTCGGGGGATGTCCACTTGCCAGCGGGGAGCAGGCCTAAACTGCAGTCGGACATCCTTAGCGCTGCTGAGGAGGCAGGAGAGGCTCCCACCACCACCGCTGTACTGGCAGCCATCAGCCTGGCTTGTGGCTGAGCAGAGCTCCTCCCATGTGAGAGTGCCTGACACCAGAGGCAGCTCCTGCATTGAGCGTCTGCCCCCTGGTGGTCAGTGTGTGTCATAGTGAACAGTCATTCCAAGTCTTCTGCTGTTAGGGTCAGTTTGCATATTACCCTTTACTATATAGGATAGAGGCCTGGTGCACGGGTGGGGGCCGGCTGGTTTGCCCTGAATGGTGTCCCGGATCAGGGTGGGGGTCCCGCTGGGGTGCCTGGCCAGCCTGGGTGAGGGGCTGATGGCTGTTTTCAGGCTGCCCGCACCCTCTTCAGGGTGGGGGTCCCCACTGGGGTGCCTGGCCAGCCTGAATGAGGGGCTGATGGCTGTTTTCAGGCTGGCCACACCCCCTTCAGGGTGGGGGTCCCCACTGAGGTGCCTGGCCAGCCTGGATGAGGGGCTGAGGGCTGTTTTCAGGCTGGCCACACCCCCTTTAGGGTGGGGGTCCCCACTGGGGTGCCTGGCCAGTCTGGATGAGGGGCTGAGGGCTGTTTTCAGGCAGGCCAAGCCTGCAACTGAAGCTCCCAGTCTCTCCTTTTTTTCTTTTTTTATTTTATTCTGGGATTTATTTACCTTCTGTAATTGAAACTTTGTTTCGGCTCCAGCTCCGAGGCCAGCTGGCTGAAAGCAGGTATTTGGAGTTTGTTTAGCTTCTATAATTGAAACATTGTTGCTTAGAGTGTAGGTTAGAGCCTGGCTAAGGCAGGTGGGGAACTTGGCTTCCTCCATCGCCGGGGCAACCAAGCCTCATGTTCGCTTCAGGTGTGTGGCTGCCGGCCGCCATCTTGGTTGGCAGTTAATTTGCATATCACCCTGATTAGCCAATGGGAAGCGTAGCGGAGGTATGGTTAATTACCATGTTTGTCTATTATTAGATAGTATGTTTAGCATAGAGCCTAAAATGCAGAAGTTGCTCAATAGTTGATTACATAGGCATTTGGACCTTGGGAGTAGAGCTTCTGGGTCATAGATCCAGATTCTATTGAGTCAGTAAGTAATGACTGAGCCTGCTTAAGTACCAGGCACTGTGTTAGTGCTAGAGGTGCAATGATTGATTATGACAATAGTCACTGCCTCTCACCTTCCAGAGACAGTGACTATTGAACACAATTATGTAAATAAGTGACAACGTGATAGAGGCCTTAGCAGTCCAGTCAAGTAATGATAAGGACTTGAACTAAAGAAGGGATGTGGTGACAGAAAGAAGGCAATTAATTTGAGATTGTAGAGTCACCAGGACTTGATGTGAGGATGAAGGCTGAGCTCTGGCCTGGAAGTCATGCACAGAATAGAGGAGGCAGTTGAAGTCTTGCCAGTGACTGACTTCACTGAGAAAGGAACACAATAGAAAGAGACCTCATTTGAGGACAGAGCCCTAGTTAAGAGACAGGAGGATAATTAATGTTGCAAATATACATTTACATAAAACACATTGTGCTATAAAGATTTCCTGTACTAAATTTGTATTCCTGCACTTATTAAACTAACAGGTTGGTGTGTGTTTTTTCTCTTCCCATTCATGAAGGACAGACCCCAAGATATATGCACAAGCTGACTAGTTTCTTACAAAAGGAATAGTCTTTTTAATTTCAAAGCAAATTGAGATTAACTGGCTCAGCTTCTTAATGTAACAAAATTCAACCACTTAAAGTGTGCAATTCAATGGTTTTTCATATGTTGTATTATATTTTTTAAGTTTATGAAATACTTATCACAGAAAATTTGCCATTTTAACCATTTTTAAGTTTATGTTCAAGTGGCATTAAGTATATTCACAATGCTGTGCAATCACCACCACTATCTATTTTCAAAGTTATTTCATCACCCCAAACAGAGACTCTGTGCCCATTAAACAGTAGCTCCTCATTCCCTGCCTTCCTCCCTGGGTAACTTCTATTCTACTTTTTGTCTCTGTGTATTGAATTTGCCTATTCTAAGGTATCCCATATAAATGGAATCATGCCATATTTGTTTTTTGTGTCTGGCTTATTTAATTTAGCATACTGTTTTCACAGTTCATCTATGTTATAGCATTTATCAGTTACTTCATTTGTGTGATTGAACAATATTTCATTATATAGGTATATCACATTTTTAAAAATTCATTTATTGATCTATGGATATATTTTTTTCCATCTTTAGGCTATTGTGAATAATGCTGCTATGAACATTGATGTGCAAGTATCTGTTTGAGTTGCTGCTTTTAATTCCTGTGGGAATATACCGAGGAGTAGAACAGCTGGGTCATACAGTAACTTTATATTAAGCCCCTTAATGTTATAGACAGATTTACTCCAGGACCTGCAGAAGGGTCATCTTGCTTTATAACTTTTTCACCAGTGTTACAGTTCATTTTCTCAAAGGGAAATGCCTTATTCATGGTTATTCAGTATGGTCAGATGACTACCTGCAGTGCCTGTTAAAACATACATGGTTGCATTCAACCACTGATCTATAGACTCAGAATTTCTGGGGGTTTGGCCAGGAATCTGCATTTATATACCCATTCATTCATTCATTCATTTAAATATGTTTTTAATTTTTGAGAAGAAGTGAGGGAGGGAGGGAGGGAGAGAGAGAGAGAGAGAGAGAGAGAGAGAGAGAGAGAGAGAGAGAGAAACATTGATGTGAGAGAGAAACATTGATTAGCTCCCTCCTGTACATGCTCTGACTGGGGATTGAACTCGAACCCTGGTCATGTGCCCTGACCTAGAATCAAGACAGCGACCTTGTGGTGCATGGAACAATCCTTAATCAACTGAGCCACATAGGCCAGGTCAGAATCTGCATTTTTAACAAGTTTTACTGGTGATTTTCATGCACACTTAAGCGTGAGAACTACTTTGAATGGACAATTCAACAAAGGCAGACTGATTCAAAATTTTAAGCTGTTGAACTCTATCTACACTAATAAAAGAGAAACATGGTAATTAGCTGTACCTCCGCTACCCTTCCCATTGGCTAATCAGGGCAATATGCAAATTAACTGCCAGCCAAGATGGCGGCCGGCAGCCAGGCAGCTTGAAGCTAACAGGAGGCTTGCTTGCTTGAGTGACGGAGGACTCCAACGTTCTCCGCCTGCCGCTGCCGGCCTCTGAGCTTGCAGTTTGAAACATTGTAACAAATATAGAAGCTAAACAAAACCCTAGA